TGAATCTTGTGATGAGTTGCTATATAACTAAAAGGTACAAAATATTCTTAATTCTGGGATCCTTGAACTGGGACATATGTTTTATCTTAGGGTAGAGGCAGATGTTAGCTCAGAATTCTATGTTAAGAAATGTGGACTAGCAAGGAACAAAAAAGAAGCTTGAAACTGATGCTCCTTTTTAATTGGCCTTTTCTTCTTATGTATAAAATTAAACATGGGGCCATGAATAAGGCTCAAATGATAGAGCAAATGCCTTGCACGTGTTATGCCCTGGGTTCAGTCCCCACCACCAGCACTGCTGCACAATCTCTGAGTACTGGATCCCAGGCACTACCAGGTGTGACCCTGGACCCAGGCCCAGGCAAGTGCTTCTTATGACCGAAAAATAGCTTAAATCATGATTTGTTATTAACAGTAGTAAAAAAGCATGAATAAGATTAGGTATTTTAGGATGACACTGCACTCCCATAAATAACTTAGAAATAGTAATATGTCAACAAGTGACTGGGGCCAGATAGATATAGAAGGGTAGGGCAGGCCTGGATTTAATCCCTCCCCATATGGTCCTCTGAGTCCTCCAGGAGTGACTCCTGAGTGGCATGTGAGGAGTAAGCTCTGAACACTACCAGGTGTGGCCCAAAAGAAACAAGCAAACAGTTCTTTAAAGATAAGACAGTGACAGCAATCAGTTCTTTAAGAATAAGACGTATTTCTGGCTATCACAAAGATTTTGAAGGTTGACATGACATGACAAAATTTCACGTTACATTTCTAACTTCCAAAGATAACTATGAAGATATTGAAACCTTAGGCTGCTCTGTAAACATTAATTTCTCTTAAACCTTTTCTTTGACAATTTGCAGCTTTTTTTTACTATCTTTATCTATGTCCTTTATTTTTCCTAGACTGAAAAGGAGGCATTTTCAGAATTTCAGTTTCAGACTTTTTTGGTTCCCACATCTTTTCTCTGTTCTAATCTGGATTCTAGTTCCTACCAGGATATCTTATCAACAATTCAAATTTAGCATTTAAAAATCCAAACTCATCTCTTTTTTGCTCAGTAACCAAACCTCCCCTGATTTTTCTATTCCTTCTAATGGCATCTGTACTTTGTCATCCAAATTAAAATTTGTCATCCTTTATTTTCTCTTTCCTTTCCCCCTCCATCCACTCAGTTGTATAGTCAAGTCTGCTTTGTCTTCATATCTTTCAATTCCATTCCTTTCTTCTGCCATTGTTATTTCTCATATTATCTTATGACTCTCTCTTACCATTCCTGTAACTACAAGCTACCGTCTTTTCCTTCAACTTATTAGACATATTACTTCAAGATACAACACAAGAAAAAGGGACCCTTACTCACTGCTGATAGGAATTTTGACTGGTCCAGTCTTTTTGGAGACAACATTACTCAAAAAACTAGAAATTGAGCTTCCATCTGACCCAGAAATTCCACTAAAAATATGCTTCAAAGGATTCCTATGTTCATTGTAGCACTATATGCAATAGCTAAAATGTGGTAAAAACCCGAATGTCCATGAACAGATGACTGGGTAAAGAAACTATGGTACATAAACACAATGAAATGCCACTCAGTCGTAAGAAATGATAGCCATGCAATTTGCTGCAATGTGGATAGATCTGGAGAGTATCATGTTGAATGAAAATTAATCAGATTAATTAATCACTCAGAATGATCTGTCTCATATGTGGGCTATATAGAGATTTCTTAAGGGAATATCAAATGCCCAATGGCAATAGAAACGAAGAGCAGAAGAACTGGTCTTCAGTAGGAAGCTTGGCACTGGGACAGGGGTGGGGGTGATAAGTTAGGGAAGGGAATACTAGAACAATGGGGGAGGAGAATACCTACCACAGAGGGAGGCTGGAGGGTGGGAGAGAAACTGGGAACCTTTGTGGAGGGGGGTGGAAGATAATGGCACCGGTGAAGGAACTGGTGTTGGAACAACACACACCTTACATTCAATCATAAATATCTTTGTAACTTTGTAATTCACAGTGACTCAATAAAAACAAAACAAACAAAAACAACCACAAACAACCAGCTTCTGGCTGCCAAGTTTTCTAGGAAATAATAACCCACTTATTAAGTCTTTTGCCTTTCACATGCCTGGTAAAATGTAGATGGTACTTTTGCAAAAATGTTCTCTAACTGTTATTATAAAAAAAAACTATTTTTTATAGTCTTTTTTTTTTTGCTAGGAAAAATTTTCTTTGGGAATATTAAATATGCATTTTGGATTTGCCTCTTTCAAAGGATTGCACTGTAGCACTCTCCTCTCGTTGTTCATCGATTTGCTCAAGCGGGCACCAGCATCGTCTCCGTTGTGAGACTTGTTACTGTTTTTTGGCATATTGAATGCACCATGGGGAGCTTGCCAGGCTCTGCTGTGCGGGCGGGATATTTTCGGTAGCTTGCCAGGTTCTCTAAGAGGGATAGAGGAATTGAACCTAGGTCGACTGCAGGCAAGGAAAACGTCCCACCCGCTGTGCTATCACTTCAGCCCTTCAAAGGATTAATAATAGATTACTCAACCTGCTATACGTTTATATTTTATATAGTGTACATTAAGTTGGGAGACTGTGAGGGGTGAACTCTGGGAGATTTGCACCATGGAAAGAAGTAGACTGATTCTGTGTTTCTTGCCTTAGTTAAGAGGCTCACTACTTTCACAGTGCCCACCACTTAAATTTATGATTCACAATAGATGTACGTTGAATCATTGTTCTAAATTGGCTCATATCATGACAAAATCATATGCCAATCAAATTGCTTTTAATGTTCAATCCTCAGTAACAACAATAATTTAACTTTCATGTCTGAAGGAGGGCAATAAATTTTTTAACATAGCACTTAAGACATAGCATCCTTTAATTTTGTGATGGACTAATAAAAATCTAAATAGTGCACTTTGATTTGGGACTTATAATTTTTTTGGTTAACACATTAGTTTCGAAACAACAACAAATCTAAGAAACATTAAATGATAGAAGTTAACAGTGTTGGGGCTGCAGCGATAGCACAGCAGGGAGGGTATTTGCCCTGAAAGTCGCTGACCTGGGTTGGATTTCCAGCATCCCATATGGTCCCGCAGCACTGCCAGGAGTGATTCCTGAGTGCAGAGCCAGGAGTAACCCCTGAGCGTCCCCGGGTGTGACCCAAAAAGAAAAAAAAAAGTAACAGTGTCATGTTTTCCTTGTGTGATGCAATTTATCAGGTTATCTTCTTTAATCATCCTGACACAGAAACAAAGATTTTATCTTTTTTTAAAGTGTGTATGTGTCTATACAAATTACTAACCTGCACCGGAAAAGATTCACGCCTATCATAAGAACGCGCCCCCCCAACACTCTTGTAAAATTCCTAACAGTTTTTAAAAACGCAACTACTCAAGAAAGTCACCAAAAAATTTATTAACAGTTCTCACCACTCTGAAAATAACCATCCTTTTCCCTACTCTCACACGGAAATAATCAATACATGAAAAAAAATAAGCAGTTTTTTTTTAAAGTTCTCCACGTTTTTCAGATGATCTTTAACCACATTTCTCCAGCGAGCCCCAACAGAACTCTCTCCCTTAATATTTTTCTGGGCTCCATTTTTCACCGTAATCGGGAGATTCAGAGAAATGGCAATCATTCCCAAAGTGGATGTTGCCCTATTAAAGGCAGAAGTGGGCACCATGTCTTCGAACAAAAAAAAAAAATCAAGGCTGCCTTGGAATCAAAAAGGCAGTCTTGAACAGAGCCACGCGCAGAGGCGTTTGCGGGACCGGGGAGCGGCCGTTCCCCCTCGGAGCTCCCGTGGCCAGCTCGGCTGCCCTCCGCGTCTTTCGGGAGGGCCGACACGGCCTGGCGTGCTTTGCACCGGCTGCGGGGGCGGCCACAGATGAGCTGGAGGCGCTGCGCAGTTCCGTCCGTAGGTCGGAATCGGTACCCTGAACCAACGCTACCTGTCTCGGAGCAGAAACGGAATCCCCCTAAGATTTCGAGAGTGCACGCGCGCTCGTGCGTGCGTGCGTGCGTGTGTGTGTGTGTGCGGTGCGTGTGCGGTATCCGGACAGCTCTGACCCCGTCAGGGCTGCCCCGGCGCTCCTCCTCCTCCCTCGCGAGGCTCCCCCATTCGTGGGCTCCGGTGCCCCTTCGGCCGGGGCTCGCGCACGCCTCTCGCATTTCCTCCCTCCCGGGGTAGCCCAGCATTTCCTTCCTCCCCTCCCGGCCCCACCTTCCCCCCCGCCCGCCTCCAGCCACATGACAGGAAGGGCTCCGCCACGCGACGTCACGGACGTCCGCGCCCCCGTGGTTTCCCCCCCCTCGGCCCCCCCGCCCCTGCCCCGCACGCAGGGGCGGGGGAAGGGGGGCAGGGCGGCCGGCGGCGCTGGGGCGAACGTGGTCCGCGCGCTCCGCGCTCCCCAACCAGAGCTCGCCAGAGCGCCGGCGCGGCGGCCGCCGACGGCGCGCGGGTGCCCGGATGTGCGGCGCTCGCGGAAGCCCCGCCCCCGCCGCCGGCTCCCCGCGCGCCCCCGCCCTCCGCCCCGCTGCGCTCCGCTTTCCCCTCCCTCCGCGCCCGCCCTCCCCCTTTTTCGTGCCTTGAGGTTGCGGGTCAGCGCGAGCCACTGCAGTGAGTCCGTCACGGCTCCGGCGCGAGCGCGACGCTGCAGCCCCCGAGCCGCCGGCTTCCTTTTTTATTTGCCCCCCTCCCCGCTGTCTCTCCCTCTCTGTCTCTCTCGCTCTCTCTCCCGGAGCTCTCGCGTCCGTCCCTCCCCCCTTGTCGCCGTCTCTCCTCCTGCTGCCGCTCTCTGTGTCTCTGGACCTCGACCTTAATTCTTATTTTTTTGGGGGGTTTTATTTATTTTTCCTGCCCCCTCCCCTCCCCACCTTTTCTCCCACCCTGTCGGCTCCCGTGCGCCCCGTCACCCGGCCGGCGCGGGCCCCCAGCCCGGACCCCCTCCCCCGCGGGCGTCCCGAGGGCCGCAGCCGCCCCAGCCGAGCGCCGCTGGGCCGCCGCCGCTGCCGCTTCCTGCGGGAGAGCCCGTCTGAGCGCCGACACACTTCTCCGCGCGAGCCGGCCGCCGACCGCCCAGCAAAATGGTGAGACCCTTGGCTTCCTCCCCGGGCCGACCCTCGGTGCATCCTCCCTCCCCGGGGCGGGGGCGAGCCCCGACGGCCGCGCTCGGCTCGGCTCGGCTAGGCTCTTCCTCCCCCGCCCCCACCTCTCCCGTCACCCCCACCTCCAGCTTGCACCCCCCTCCCCCCGCGCCCCCCACCCGCCGTTGGAAAATTCGAGCGACCCGGACCCCGGTTGGGTGGCGCGCGCGCGCGCGGCGGGTCGGGGAGAACCGCAGGCGGCGGGCGGGCGGGGGCGGCGGAGCGGCTGCTTGACAGGACGGCGCGGCCCGCCCGCCCCCGGGCCTCGGCGGGGCGCTGCTCCTCCACCCCCGCCGGGATCCCGCCTGTGCCGCCGCCGCCGCCGCGGACCCCCAACCCCCCTCCCCGCGCGGGGTCCGGGCGGGCTGCTCTCCCGGACCCTCCTCCACGTGCACGCCCGCCCCGCTCCCCCTTCCCCACCCCTCCACCCTCCCGCGCAGCCCCCAGACTCGTTCTCAAGTTGGGAGGCTCTGCCGAACGCCCGGTGGCAGCACCGCCCTCGGTGGCCGCCGGCGCTTTATATAAGCCCCGCTGTCTCCCCCGAGCTGCTCCTGCCTCGCACTCCCACTCCATTTTTCGAGCTCCGAGGCTTTGGCAGCCATCCTGCCGCTTTGCTTTCCCCGTCTACCCCCGCGAGTGTCGACGCCGCTGCCGCTTGCACCCGGGCGGCGTGTTGCTGCCGCTGTGTGTGTGCGTGTGTGCGTGTGTGTGTGTGTGTGTGTGTGTGTGTGTGTTGCGTGTGTGTTGCGCGCGCGCGCGCTCTGGGCACCGGCGGGGAAGGTCCGGGGTTGGCCCTTCCTGGAATCCGGCCACCTGGGTCTGGGACCGTGGCGGATCTTTCCTTCTTATTACGTGCTGCTTTAGCAGCCAAGGGGTGTTTTGATTTGTCACCTTCCCAAGTCTTTTCTCTCGTTTTTTTTTTTTTAAAAAATTTTTCCCCCTTTCTTTTTTTCTTTTTGGAATCATGGCGATTTAAATGTGCCTTTCCCTTACCCTCGCCTTAATCCCTAGGTGGGAGCCACTGCTGTAGTGTTTCGGTCCGACGCTAGGGGTGTGTCTCCTGCCTCTTGTCACCGTGGCCAAGAAATCAACGGCGCCCTTTCAGCCTGTTACCTTACCGGTTCGCCGGTGTAGTTTTTCTCTCGGTCCTCGGGGATTTGTGTCCATAGTCGAAAACGGACCCAGGACTCTTCCCCGAGAACCAGATATCGGAGCATGTGACTTTAGTTATCGCCTTAAAAAAAAAGTGTCTTTGAACAGCTGTCACAAGCTTTTTTAGACTGATGGACTTGGAGTGATTTCTCTGGACCTTTTAGATTGAATTTTACTGAGTGTATGCCGCACTTAAGTGTTTCAAAATGTAGCAGTGGTGGATGAGGGATGAGAAACATTGTGTCGCTGGCGAGTTGGTTTGATTGAGAGAGGAGTGAGGGCTGCCAGATCCTAAGTGAAAGTTGGATTTTTGGTTTTGTCTGTTTTGGGACTCCTGGTCGAGTGCAGTTACCAGTGTACCTGAAAGCCAGATTAGGAGCAGTCTTCATACATGACTAGTCATATTGCTTCATAGAGCTTTTTCCCCAAGCTGGAGGCAGCCCAGAAAGACAGCTTTGTCCTCCCGGAGTCCCCAAACGGGAGCTTTTCCAGACATTACAGAAAACAACTTAAAGTCATCCATACTAATCATTTTGTTGGCATAGTCTGTTGAAGTTATGAATCGTGCTTTGGTGCTTTCATAGTTTCCTGATGCATGTAGCATACTTGAAGGTCGGGATCCTGAATGTCTTTGCCCGTCACAGTGAATATCTTTACACCTGTATTTATCGGCGATATGTTCTGAGGAACAATGAGCTAGCCTTTTGTTCTTTGTATGTTATGTAAGAGAATGGTATGGTTTCTGAGTACTGTCCTCCCCTCTCCCCAGATGTACAGCCCCCTCTTTTTTTGGGCAACAGCTTAATTTAGGAAATCCTCACTTAGCTCTTGAAGTTTATTTTCCTACTACTCAAAAACATTATCTTCCAAAAACTTTTTGAGATTTGTTAAACAGTACTGTTCCAGGTGATATATATTTTTTTTTCTCAGTTTCTTTTTCAGTATTACCTGATTCACTGTGGGCTCTTTTTCCTACCATCTTCTTAAAACTATTTCAGGACCGATATAATTTGTTGTGACAGAAACTACCCAACTTGAGGATTATTTTGGTCTGCTGAGCTTTAAGCTCCAGTTTGAAAGTATCAAGAACGTACCCATAGCTCTATCCTGCCATATAGGATTTTGATGAACTCAAATAATTAGGTTTTGGATGATTGGTCATGTTTATTTTTAGCTAGTTGAGTTAAAAATTCTGAATAATTTTCTTTGGAAGTGAAATAACTCACAACACAGTTTTGTTAACAGGCTTTCAAATTACGACCATCACTGATCAAGTAAGGGGGGGAGTAAAAAAGTCTTTTAAGATTGCCTCAAACACATCAAGAATTTTTGACAGGTTATTTCAGTGGTAACCTTTTTAAGTTTCCTTGGAGTAGGATATAGCTCGTTGGTAGGGGAAAAACGTTTTCTTTTTTTCCTATAATTATTTTTCCTTTTCGATAATTTTTTGGCTGACACTCCCAACTGTGCGTACGGATCACTCTTGGCAGGGCTTTTGGGACCTGTATATGCTGGGAGTGGGGTATAGAACTGGGGTCACCATGCATGTTATACTATAGATTTTTTCTTGAAAATTTTATTTTTCCCTTATTTTCACCTATATTTGAGGTTTAATGATTGAGCCTCCAGGTGGGATGAAGATTATGCATATGGATACAAAAATCAGAACTCAGTTCCTCGGATCCTCCCATCCATGTCCCAGATTATCAGTGATAAACTTTTAAAGTTAAATTAAATATCTTCATAATTTTTGCTCAGGAGGCATGTGTAGGTTAGAGAGAATGCTTTAATGTTACTGACATTGAAAGGAATGGAAAGGAATAAATAAAAGAATATTTAGGTCTCCTTAAAAAGTCTTGAGTAGTATTTAATAAATTTAGTAGTGACGTTTTTAGAAATGCATTTAACTTGAAAATGTATTTAACTCAAATAGTTTTTACTATATTTCTGCTATAATGTAAACCCATAACCAAGTTTTAAAAATCTTTATAGATAATAACTGATTTGGTTGTGGCTGAATATATGAATATAGCACCTAAGTAGCCATCTTAAGTTCTGTTTCTTGGGGTAATCAAATTTCATAAATGACTTTTTTATGTCTTTGTGTTTTTAGTAAAGTAGTGTGCTTGGTTTGGGGGGTGGCGCTTGTTTTTTGTTTCTGAGTCACACCTGATGATGCTCAGAGATTACTCTTGGTTTTGAACTCAGGAATTAACCCCTGGCAGTTCTTGGGGGACCATATGGGATGCATGGGGATCAAACCCAAGTGGGCTTCCTACAAAGCAAGTGTTCTGCCTGCAGTAGTATTTCTCCAGCCCATGTAAAAAATAGTTTTATTTAGAGAAATATACTTAGAGAAATATTGAGAGATTGATTGAAAGAACATGGACTTCTAAAGAGGAGGGATGTCTCTGTCTGTTTTTAAATCTTATTAAAATTAGTCCCATTAAATGTAATAGATTTTGAAATGCATTTGTTGGTGTTTATATTAACTGCACTTAAAAGTTGCATGTGGGGCTGGAGAGAGAGCACAGCGGGTAGGGCGTTTGCCTTGCGTGCGGCCAACCCGGGTTCTATTCCCAGCATCCCATATGGTCCCTTGAGCACTGCCAGGGGTGGCTCCTGAGTGCAGAGCCAGGAGTAAACCCCTGTGCATTGCCGGGTGTGACCTAAAAAGCAAAAAAAAAAAAAAAAAAAAAAGTTGCATGTAAGTTATATATAAACACTGATATTTTAGTGTTGGGGGAGACTACTTAGAAAAAAAATTCAAGTCTATTTTACCAGTAGCAGAAATAAAATTTATATCAGCTATTAGAATGAACTTTGCTCATCTTGTCTCTTAGTGGATGAGAATATTTACAAGGCCCAGAGAACTAGGTAGAGGCTAAGTCAATCAGCAATGAAAAGGACAGACAAATGTGGGAGGATCAGGCATCTGTCAAAGGTAGTAAAGCAAGCAGAAGTACAAGGCAGTATAAGGAAGTCAGCTTGGGCCAAGAGGATTAAGCAAGTCAGACTCTGCACCCAGTCTGTGCAAGCAATTGGGTTTCACTTACATCAACAGATAGCTTGTAGAGGATATTTTGTCTGATTTTCACCAGTTACAATGCTCTGTTAGGAAGGATGTTAAAATGATAAGGAGAGTCTCCTGCCTTTGTTTAAATAGCAGACATGTTAGTAAGTGTGGAAACATTAGCAGGCTCAATCATGTGAACAATATGCACAAATACTTGTAGAAATTGAGCAGAGAGCGAGATCAGTTTCATCTGGGGTTAGGGAAAGTTTTAGAAGGAGGTGACAATTGATCCAAGTCTAAAATAAATAATTCGGATTGCAGTAGGCAAATTGGAGGCAGCTAGGAAAAGGCTATTTGAATTCTGGAGATAGACACAACATACATTTGGGCCACTGATAACTTAGAATATAGTTCCTGTACCAACGGCATTGGCATCATCTTCAAAATTTGTTAAGACTCACCCTAGACCAACTCAATTTAAAACTCTGAAGATGGCACCAGGCAGTCCAGGTAATTATGATATATTCTATTTTAGGAAGGAATGTCTTAAATTTAATTAAACATCTGTTATTGTACCCAGGACCGATTGTACAAACATAAGCATAACTGTAATTTCCAAGAATCATAATCAAGTGGGATAAACAATGCAATTATGATACTTGTTGTTAACAAATTAAACATTGTGGTTTATCAAAAGCACATGGCAGGGAAGAGGCTTAATCCAAAAGTGGGGTGGGGGGTGTACATTAGGAAAGGGAAATGATTATCATTCGAA